CAGTAATGTTAGGTTATTAAAACTATAATTTTTTTTCGTTTATTTATTAAAGTACTTTGTAATGAGAAGAAAAAAAAAATATTTTCATTATATTGTAGAAAATCCCATCTTTTACGTGACCTGATCACATCGGTTCACATTCTGCTGATCTATATGATGAACGGCGGTGATAAATGACGTAGTCAAATACATATATAGAGAAACATAGTGAAATTTCCATGTGAGATGTAACAGAGAGTTGTTTTGTCGGATCTCTGGGGCCAATCATGCAGCCGATTTACGAAAATAAAATAACATTTTTCTCTTACCACATCGACCAAAAGCAAAAGTGAAAAGTTTAACCTTTTTTGACGGCCATCATTGGGGAAAAGTCCGACTTACTATAATTTTTATTTTTTATTTAAGGTTTAGTTAAGATATTGGAGGCTACCTTACCCGTTTGCACTATTCACTCCATTAAATTTGATTAAATACTTAAACTGTTTAGACACATCAACGCTCCGGTTGCTTCGAAGTCTTTCAAATAATATAATAGTAAATAATATTTTTTATTTATTTTTTTAATACTTAAAACTTATGATAAATTTTTTATTTTGTTTTTTCAAGACCTTAAGAAGATTTTGATACTCTTGATTGGCCAAAATTAATGGTTTAAATTTTTAAAATTATTTATGTAATTTATTAACCATTTTGTGAAATATAAAATATAATTAATTAAAATAAAAATATATGATGTGAAATTTAACAGGATCTCTCTTCATATAATTTTATTCTTAAATGGGTTTCCCAAATATGTATGGTCTCCTATCTAGACATTGGAGCCCATTAAGGTGCCTTTCGGATAAAGTATAAAAGCCCAAAATCTTCACGTAGAATGCTTTTTTATTATTATTATTATATTATGTTATAACAAATATATAAAATATAAGCTTGCGAGGAATCTAAATTTTAAAGACATGTTTGGTTGGTAAATATTGGAGGAAATTAATATATTTTAGTAGTATAAAGGGCTTTGAAAGTTGCATATTGTGTTTGTTGCTTGTCCTTTCCTTTGGGATAAAATCTTTAATATATATAATTAAGACTATTTTTATTTGGGTTTAGGTAATTATATTTTTCATAATCAATATCATTTTTTCTTGGTAATCAACCACCTAAACAACAGACTAATCACCATTACCAAGACAAAGCCAACCCAACCCCCACCCTTTAAAAATGGACAACAAACCCCCCAAACGTGAGCAAGACTCCTATTAGTTGTGGATCTCTTGATCTTTCTTAGATCCATAGCTCTATCCCTTAGGGGTGTGCAAAATTACTCGTAACCCGAAACGAACATGGTAACCGAATCGAATTGAATTTTTCGGGTACTGAAAATTCAAGTCAGATTCGGGGTAGTTTTATTAGCACCCGAATTTTTGGTTCGGGCACCGGGTCTATTTAAAAAACTAAATTGGGTATCCGAAACTCGGTTTAATTAAAAAAAAAAAAAAAAAAACCTAAAAGCTAAAACCCCCAAATCGATTTACCCTAAGAACAAAAGCAAATTTCTTTCTCCAGTTCGCATCTTCTTCTAATCTTCTCCAGTGAACTTATTTCTTTCATCTCTATATATAAATCTTCATCTCGTAAGTGATTCATATCTCTTCTTTCTTTCTTCAGTATATCCGAGGTTTCATTTGCTCTCTCTGTGTGTTTTGGTACGTTTGTTTGGTGGGAAAGTGTGGAAAGAATAATGGGCATTTTTATGGTTCACTGTCTTTTCTATGTTTCTTTTATTTTTAATAAGAGATAATAGAAAATTGCGGCAATAGGCGAAGTTTCGTTCGCTTCTTGCTTTTGTTTGGCACTTATTGAATAGATTAGGCAACTAAAGTCCCTAGCAAGGTCAATTCGATTTCGATTTCGATTTTGATAGCATTTTTTACTTTTTAATTGTCGTTTTCATCAACCGATTTCATCATTATTTCTGCAATTGGGCCAGGCAAACACAGATGTGAACCCACTTTCATATCCCTCCACTACCTAGGAAAACAACTCCCACATTTTGATGCTGCAACCTCTTTCACGCTAATTACCTCTTATACAGTTTTTATATTTATTAATTATTCATCACCATAACTAATTAATTTTAGGAAGTAGATTATGATGTATTTATGCAATCACATGGTTGTCTTTACCAATTATATTGGTATAAACATACATCCAATTGTATTTCTGAATTATTATTTGATAGTGTTAATCATGTAGTGATTGGCTCAATCCTTTTAAAGAAACACATTAAGTTTGGAAGTGGAAGGAATTCCGCAAGGTAAAGATTGAAGGCACTTTGAAGCAGCAAATTCAGTTCAAAAACCAGGTTTTCGTTAACCGGACTGAAAATTTACTCTGAATTTTCGGGCATCTTGAAAACCAGTTCGATTACCAAATACACTTATAGAGTACCCAAATATTTGGATTAGGTCAGAAAATTGCAAAATTGATTAGGGTATCTGGTTTTGCATAGCTCTACTATCCCTCACAATTAACTTAATCATGTTAAAAATAGTGATAGCATCCTTGTACTCCCCACCAAACACTTTATTGTTTCTTTCCATCCAAATCCAATAGATGGCAGCACCCAAGAACTAAAATAATTCATCTAACTCTTTGATAAAAACTTGTGGTTACTTTGATTTTTTATTAGATGTTGCTCATCAAAATTCTGGCCTTCTTGAGATATACAGAAAAACCCGAATATATATGTTAATATCACTACAATTTAATAAAATTTTGCAACGTTATAATTTAATTTTAAATTATTAAAAATTAATATTAATATCAATTTTACAATTTTTTTTTTGATAAATCCTACCTATGAATTATGATATCACCTTGAATTTGTACCATGTAGATTAGATTTATCAAATAATTCATATTGTTTGTATCTTTATTATCACTTTATTTTCTTATACCTTTATTATTAACTGGGTTTACTTATAGTTCATTTCATAGAGATATAATATTAATAATTCATTTAACATTCAGATTATTTGCTTAAATTTATCATTGAGATTTCAAGTTTTCCCAGAATTTAATTGAAGAAAAATATTTCACTAAACAAATACAAATATTTGCTTAAATTTATATTTACTTATATTAATTTATTAACATATAGAGAGATCTTGGATGTTAGATTTCCTCATTATTGCTCTGTTTTTCTAAAAGTACTTAAAAATAGCCTCACTCACTCAATCTTCTAATTCATTGTAAGCCTACACAAATATGATTCTATTTTTACTAAAATAGGTATTGGGGGCTTAGGGAAACTAATAAATAAATAAATACCAATAACTTCACTTTTAAATAAATAAATAGATGTTATTATATGTATAAAAAAAACTATTTAATGATATTAAAACATAAACATTTGTTCATTTATGGGCCATGCTAAATCCTCTATCAATTATTTGACTAAATGTTTTATTAGTTACAATCACGGTGGAGGAAATTAAATGTAAAATTTATGATCTACTCAAATTTATAGGGACAAAATTAAACAAGCATTAAAGTATTTTTTTTTAAAAAAAAAAATCAGGATTATTAGCTGGATTACTTATGCGTTATTAGCAAAACACATCTCATCTAACTCTTGAAAAATAAAAAAAAATCAATTATTTAAAAGAAAAAGAAAACTACTTTTATTAAGTGAAAACATTTATGTTTATAATTCTATATGCCTTTGAGTTGAATATGGCAAACGTGATGAGTGTCAACTCCAAAATATTTATGTTTATAAAATGTTGAAGGAAATTAAATATAAATTTTAGATTGAAAAAATTTCAAAGGAAAAAATCATAGATCATTCATGGTTGTGTACTTTATTATTGTCAAATAAATTATTTTTATATGTTTTTTATTAGCAATAATTTACGTTAAAAAACTCCACTGTAACAAAAAAATAAAAAATAAAAAAAATTAACCAATTAATCCTCCACCATAAAAAAATAATAATTATATTTTATTCTCACTTAAACCCTTATTTCTTTATTGTCGTGCAGACTTTTCGACTTTCAGATTTGCGCCACTTGTCCATACACCATACCAAAATGTGACGACTAGACTTGCTCTACGTGTCGCTCCCACAATAGATGACTTTATCAACAAGCTCATCAATATTAAACAAGGGTGTTAGACTTAATCATAGATAGGTCTGATTTAGATTCAGATTGCAGCCAATTATACGTGTACTGTCAATATCACTTCTTTGATCATAATGAAGTTTATTTTTGGAGTGACACCCACCCATTAACCATTTTAGCACTGATTTCGGTAATAACCATGGTAAGCCATATTCTGTTGAAAGAAGGAATAGTAAAGGGTTCAAATTGAACGATCTGTCCTGTATCATTCCAAATACTTTCGAGCTTGACCGCAGTTGCTTTTCTTTTGGGATCCAAAAATGCCTAAAATCTCATCTCGTTGTCTTCTCAAATGATTTTCGTTTTTCCTATCTTTTTTATTTATTATTATCATAAGGCATTGTCAGAGCTGTTTACAAATGCCACATACAAAGAGGTTGACTTCATGGATAATCCCTAATGATATGATCCTAAAACTTAGGGTAAAACAATTTTTTTTTTTAGATTTTTTTATAGCTTTTTACTTGAAAAAGAAACTCATAATATCAAGTTAAGTCTAGAAATTTATAAAAATATATATGTTCCCCTGGGACATAGTTTTAGAAATTTTAGCTCAGTTTTAGGGTAAAAAATTATTTTCTAAAGCAGGCTCATGTTATAAAGGTCTATTCAGTATATGTATTTAAAAAAACTTCATCCACTTCCCTAACTTTGAAACAGGAAAAAAAAAAAAAAAAAAAAAAAAGGAAAAGAAAATATGTGGTCGGCTGTGAATTAAATGTATAATTTTATAAAGTTGTAGATTCACAATAACGAATTGACTAATCTCATTTTATAGAGTGCCTTCAACAATTATGATACAAATATAGATATACAGTCCTAGACACAAGTGATTGGGATATGATTTCCTTTGAGGATTGCCTGGACGTTTGAACAAGAAGATGTCGCCGGAGCTGCTTTAGCGTCATTGTAAACCAAGTTGATATCATCAATCTCCACATTTTGGCATGGATTCAATTTGCTGCAGAGAAGATTAATTGCAACCTTGGAGGAGGAAGTGCCACGAATGTTGTTGTATTTCACATTGCTGATCTTCACTTTTGAAGGAACCTATACAAATTGATAACAAGCACCAAGTTAGCAAACAATTGTCTGGTTACATTACAACTTAAAGAATCAATAACAAACCAATTAGTATTGTGTTTATATACCTTCTTGTTACAAGCCTTATACGGGCAGTATTCTTGATCAATAACAATGGGGTTTTGCACATTATTCATGACAATGTCTTCAAACGTGAAATTGGAAAGTACGCCCTCATAAGAATCAGGCCATGTCTTGATTCTTACACCATTATCAGTGCCCGTGAAGGTGCAATTTCTCACCGTCAAACCTGAAATAGCTTTCTCATTTGGAGTCCTTCCAACACTACCAACACTAATCCCATGTCCTGGTCCACAAAAAACATTGGAGACTAGAATGCTTTCACTTCCGGGACTCAGAGAGACACAATCATCACCAGTACCTATCACTGAATCATAGATCTCAATCCCTTTTGATGACCCGATATGAATTCCATCAGTGTTGGGACTGTCACCAGGTGCCGAGATATTAATAGATTTTAGCTTCAAGTTGTAGCAGGCAAAAACGTTGATATGAACTTTCTTGCTATCAACAGATTTTATTTCTTTAATTGTTGAGTCGTTGAGGAAGTTGAATCGCAAAGACTGTCGAAAGGCAAAGCAAATAAGCAACTAATTAACCAAATCTTGTGTTTCAGTTATTAAGAGGCGATGTCAGATTAAAATGTAAGGCATATTATTGAAAAAAGTACTCACGGTAGGAATCTGGCACTTGGAGTTTTTCTGGCAATCATTTTGTTGCCATGCAATTTGTCCTTGGCCGTGGAAAATTCCACCTCCAGCGAGGGTGAAGTTGCTGAGACGTTCAAAGGTAATCCAACTTTCCTTATCAACAAACGTTGATACGTCAACAGGAGCCTTCACAAATCCCTTCACTATGAATGAAATCGGACCTTTGCATGGACCTTTAAACACCACTGAATTGACCAAGTATTTTCCTTGTGGAACAAATACCTCGCTGTTGCCATTCCAGTCACAAGCTTTTTTCCAAGCAGTAATAAAAGCCTGATAGTCAACGTAATAGTTAATATTGCATATACGAAAAGACTGTGAGTTCTGTCAAGCCTAGTATAATAAGCAGTAAAGCATAATTAAAGAAAAGGAAGAAAGAAAACAAAAGAAAACAGTTATTTGAAATTTTCCTAACCTTGCTGTCATCGTTCTCGCCATCTGCTGCGGCGCCGAAATCCATTACATTGAAAACCGATTCATTTATTGCATGAACATTTCTAGACAAAATAAACACAATTAGGATAGAAAATACTTGTTGAGAGTAGAAATTGAAACCCATCTGAGGCGATAATTATATAGCTTGATGGAGTGAATTTTAATAATTAATTAGTATGCTTCACTTTGTTTATGGTTTAAGAGGTATTTATACATTTTCGATAGCACTCTGTCTCCATTGGTTCTCCTCTAACTCCCACTCAGTATATTTTTAGGTTTTAAGTAGAATTATTGGCCCGTATTTATCTAGCATGATTTTAAGAGTAACTTAATACAGTGGCCGCTAATAAGTTAGAGTAACTTCCTTATATAAATAAGGCTTATGGTTGCTGACGCCTGGGGATAAGGAAGCTACTATATAGAAATAGGAAAAAAAAGAGTTTTTTTTTTTATTTAAAGAAACAGCATACTTCAAATAATAAAAAAAAAAATGTCACTGTCATTTTTATTTGGTTGTCAAATTGAGGAAAGAAGTAAAATATTACGGAGGTAATTGTCATTGGTCTCCTTACAAACTCATCATACAAAATTTTCATTTAATTGCAAACGCTAACTCTATAAACATTTAGAAAATAGTTAAGCTTCTAGTTTTTGTTAATGTATGCCCTAGGAACCAATCATGTTGTCAGTTTCAGGACATTATATTTTGTAAATGTATTATGAATAAAAGAAAGTGTTCTTATTTCACATGTTGATTTTACCGCTTTATTTATATTATATTTAATATTGCATGTGAAATGTTCGGATGACACGGATCTTCAGGAGATCAAATTAACGAAGAATTCCCTACACATGTAATGTTAATTGGGCAATAACATTGCATAGTATGCGTGTTGAATGTCTCCATTGAATATCATGTGATGGTTTTAGTGTGGGTGATTTTAAGAGGTATTTCATTAAGGCATTAGCATGGATAAATAGTTAATGAACTGTTTATCGAATGCGACCGATTACAATGTATCACATGGACGTGGTCAATGATGCATCGTAGGATCGTGTTAGTGTACCACTGATCCGTAGACTTGAGACATCATGGTTGGATTCAACATAGGATGCATATGGTTCATATAGTGTATAAGCATGAGACTAGTCATGTCTTGTGTAATAAGCCGGTTTAGTCATATGTTATTCATGTGCGATGACAAGTGATGTCAAGATGTGATATGTTAAGCCAAAATAGTCCAATCTCAAGTTTCTAGACGAATGTCAATAAACATTGGAAAAGGTAAATCTCTGGCTAGATTATAATAAATGTCAGATGAAAAGTAGTTTCATGCTGACAAGTTCCATTGTATTGATTGACAATTCGATTAAAGATTAAGTTAAGGGTTTTGACATACCATGAACCATTCTTAATCAGGATTAGATAACATAGGGATTTTACTACATGGTGCGTACGATCATAATAGGTTCATTGGAGTTTACACTTCATGTGGTTTAGGGGTTATGGAACATTGCTAGACATCTAACATAATCAGTAGGAGTTTCGATTATAAAGAGTTATAACAGTACATATCAGAATCTGATATTGGGCACACGGCTAGATCACAGTGAACCAAAATGGTCACACATAAAACCAAGCTCAAGGAGAGAGTAATACATATCATTAATCGGATTAATGATGTTCGAACATAAACAGTTGCATCTGAATTAATGTATTGGTGTGAAATGATTATCCGGGATAGCTAGCACTAACCAAGGGTAATAAGGATTTATTAAATATTATTATTGAATCGGATTCAATAATGGGGGCAAAAGTGCATTGGTTTTATTCTAAAGAGTTAGAATATTTAATGTGATTAAAATTTGGGCTAATTATGCATTAACCACAAAACCAAGGACTTGACATAAATGCTCTTTTCCAAGATTAATTTTAAATTGTTTGAGGACTTTCCAAGACAATTTAAAATTACACTTTGTGCCCATGGTAAATAAACCAAGAGTTATACAATTTTCATTGAATTGAAACAAAATCACTCTTTCATTTTCTCTCTCACTCTCTCGGCTCTCTCTTCCTTGGTTTGTGTGGATCACATTTTGAGGTTCTTCAAGTTCACTTGAAGAACTAAGACTCCAAGAAAGAAGACTCAAGTGTTGAATAGCAAAGAAGTAGGTAATATTCCATCCTTACCTTGAAATTTTTTGGGCTTATGTGTTATGTTTGTCTTCTACCTTGCATCCATCATCTTGTTCATCATTTTTACACTATTTCCATGTCAAAAATGCATGAATCCCAACAGTTTTCCATTCTTAATAGTACTTGCATATTTGGTCTTTAGACTAGCTATTACAAACTTTACTTGGGACACTGACATGCCAACTGCATAGTCCTCTCATGTTTGTTTCATTGAACACAATGGCAATGTGTTGTAGTTTACTATAAGCAAAGTATCACATGTTGTCATACATATTGTTAAAAAAGATTGAAAAGCTTGTGTGTTTTAAAAAATCAAGTGACAAGCACTTCAATTTTAAATGGAAAAAGACTCGTTTCGGTCGTCAAAGTTGATCGATAAAACCAACTTGTCATTTTCTTCTTTCACAATTAAACAACTTTGTTAGAGTAGGTGCACTAGAGCCAATGTTTTAGCTCTTGTAAACTCATTTTAATAAGTGAATAAAAGGCTTTGCTTAGAAAAGTTGAAACCAGTGACGAGGGAATAGTGTTATAAATCATAATTGTGAGAACCCTATGAGCACAAATGATGGCACTTCTTAAACCGTCCATAGTCATAGTATAAATCTGACCAAGCGCACATATTATATGGAGAGACTATCATCGCGTCGAATGACCTTATCGAAAGGTAGTTACAGATCTCACATGTCAAGGTTGTGGGCATCAACCTGGTACAACGCATGGGTGCTTGCTTGTGCAAGTCCACTAAAATGACCCATTAGAGGATTCCACATAAGATGGTAAACCTAGTGTCTGTGGAATATATTCTCTTACGGATGGTGGTGCATGTGGTCCTTCGACTTGAGACAAAACACCATGTGCAAATATCGATGTGATTTGACACCAACCTAATGTCGTCTCTCTTAGGGATTACCAGAACGGTGGTGATTGGTTACATCGAGAAGTACACTATGGCCATGGTGGATCAACAAAGGATTTATTACTTTTGGTTACAGGAGATCTTATCTCGACGAGATATTTGGTTAAAAACTACGACCTCAAATCTGTGCCCACAGTGGAATTGAGTTGGTCCTCGAATCCAGTTTTACATAGTCATTAGATTCGAGAACCAAATATTAAACATGTCAAGGTAGCATTTGGAGGTAGACACTATATCTGTACCTCAAACCTTAATGAGATATAAGATGATGAAATGGATCGAATTGTACGGTAACCATACCGTAGAAAAGGTAAGCCTAAATTGTTAATCTTGACTTATCGGGGAATCATAATGCCTTGCTAGAGGCCAATCTTGATTGGTGTACGAACACACTAATTGGTTGATGCTTAATTAGTTACCAAGATACTGCTGGCAAAGTAAAGAGCCTCCGGGTCACATACATAGAAGATAGTTAAGTAAGAAATGGAAATGGAAGGACAATCTTGTCCTTGGGCTAAAAAAGGTATTTATGTAATTTGGGAATCTAGGGGCATTTTTGTCATTATGGGCAAAAAGGGCACTTTGGTAATTTTGCTAAGGGGTTGACGCCATTATCCAATTTATTGGGAGGTTTTTTTTAGCAAAATTGGAATCATATTAACTTTAATTAAATTGGATAATATATATTTAATTTAATTAAATATGTATTAAAACCCATTTATTAAATATGATAAATATATATATAAATATATGGATTAAATAAATACTAATATTTATTTAATTAGAATATGTATTTATATAGGTATTAAATAAAAAGGGGTATTTATTTAATTAGGATTCATATTTAAGGAGAATATCTTTAAGAGATATTCTAATCCCTTATATCAAGGATTGCAATCCAATTCATATAGGAATTAAAAGGATTGTAATCCAATCTAAATAAGAATTAAGGATTTACAATCATTATCGGATTCTTATTTGGGATTGCCTATATAAAAGGTCATTGGGTTTTGATTTAGTAGAGCAATTCTCATAACTTGTTTTTGCAAAACTGAATAGCAAAAATAGTTCTCCCAAAACCCTAGCCGTTGCCAACCCTAGAGAGAAACTCTCTTTCTGATTTTCACTACATCTCCTTAAGCCCTTTGATTGGTCTAGTAATCAATCCTAGGGTGATCCCAAGCCTTTTCATGTGGATCAGTCGAACTCGATCCTATGTGGCGAGATCCAGAGAATAAGCCACCAATGAAGGTATAAAATTACTAACCTTGTATGGTTTAATCAATATATATATTGTGGATTAATTTATTGGGTCGTGATCTTGGTAAAGGGATCGTGGCATGGCAAGAAAATTTTTATTATTCCGCACTTGTCACCACACGATTCCTACAGACTTGTCATATATTATTTGTTGACAAGATAATTAATTTTTTTTATGCGTTTAACTTTTGAACAAATAATCAATTAAATTAAACACCTACAGACAATTAAAAAAATTTGAGACACAAAGATCTTGGTTTAGATCCAAGCCTTAAGAGTTAGTCGAATACAGATTCAATCAGCATGTAGAAAATAATTTTGATTCAAAACAAATCCTCATAAACCATCCGGCTCAGCGCTCGCCACTCATCCTTGTGAGCCGAGTTGAGCCGAGTGGGCTCATGCTTGTGTCTCCTTGACTTCAATTCCTGCTTAGAATTGTTGTCTTAGCTCCGTCTAACTCGACCAAGTCATTATTATTTATGGGCAAAGCTGACTTGCCTACTTATAATATGGAGATACAATTAAACATCTTTGATTAACTGAATATACTCTCTAAGTTAAATACCCTTTAACTCAGAGAGTGAAGGACAATCTGTATAGGCCAAAAACCGTATTAAGCCTGACGAGGCCCAATGCCTTAACCCAA